CTTTTATTCAGGCATATCACACTGCAAGGGAAAAGGTGGCCGAAAGACTATTACGTGGCGTGTGATGGAACATATGAGATAGACGTTAATATATATATATATATATATATAACTGTTTAAAAAACTGTTAGATTGATGGGTGTTCGATCTTCTTCGTTCTGATTTGGTTTGGCTGAGAACATTGTTTAACTTCAATTAAATTGGAAACCTTACACTCAATTACATGTGGATATTCTTAAAGTTTAATATAATATTCAAAACCCTCTGTAAATATACGGGTTAAACGATATATTAGTTTGATTGTTTTTTTAATAATCTTGTAAATGTCATTGTCCCCATTCACTAACCTCGCTTTCATCTGTAGAACTGTGTTAACCTTTTTCTTTATTGCTTCTTTGAAACGGGCTTCTGAAATTTCTCGTCTTATCCTCTTCCTCCGAATAGTAGGTTTTTCATAATATCTTCCGCGACGTACCTCCTGACGAATCTTGTTTGCATTTAAGATTGACCATAATCGTCTATAACCCATCGCAGCACTTCCTGAGACATTAACTGTTCTACCAGCAGTTGAACTCCTGTCACCTTCTGCCGGTCTTGCTGTGGGAAATGCCGGAGAATACATCACTGATGGAGGCGCATCAAATGGTGTAGAAATTTTTGTACTTTTCTTGCGAATATGCTGGGTGAACAAGTTAGGCCCGAAAATGTTATTTGCAAAAGTGTTCAATATTGGGCGCGCATTTGTTCTATTCGAAATAAATTCTTTAATCTTTGACAGAGAAAACATTATTTTAACTAACTTTCTAATGACGGCATAATAATAACATGATGCTACCACATATTTCTCGTTATCTGATCGACATTATCTTCAATGCATATACAGTATGATTGGTTGAAATAATCTATGCTATGTATGTATTAAAAAGAATAAGATCTGTAACGCATGAGTTAGCTCAAAAAAGAATCCCGACAAACAATACGAGTATCTCAGATAGAGATTCCCAGACCACAAATTCATCAGGAACATTGGGTCGGGTCTCGACTGGAAATGCAAGGGCTTTGCATCCATTTTGGAACGATCGGCTCTGCAAACGTTAATGACACCAAATTCAGTGAGCCTGCCGAGAACCTATTATCGGTCATCATTATATTTTTAGCAGGACAATTGAAAACGACAAAGAGAAATCAAAAACACGAAAAATACGGATTTACTCAATGCCAAAAAGTTAAGAAGGTGGGTAGGAACTGTGGGATGGACGTACGACAAGGTTTTTGAGATGGTTCACGATAATGGAATCACTTATATGAGCATCATACGAAGGCACAATGAATGCTTCACAACTGAAGAATTTCTTTGTATAAAAGAGATCCTTAGAGAAGTACGTTCGTATGCGAATTGACAATTGATGGATGCATATGAAACGAACAAGAGTTGCATGGAAATAATTTTCGAATGAAATACTGATCAAAGAAGGATCGAACACAAATTATTTCGATCCTTGCTAGGGATTGGAATAGGAATAAAGGGAAATACGCGTTCCTAAAAAATACAATCACCTCCGAGCGACCACCTGATATCAACAACACGGTTAGCATAACTATGAATCACTTGGGACATTTTTACTTGTGTGTTTCCATCCCTTTGAATATCATCAATAATCATAATCATATGTTCAAGAAAGGTAATCCAGGTGTTCGCACATTTATGACTGGTTACGATCCTGATGGTTAGTTAATAGAGTGAGGTAATGGTGATTTTAATAAAATATTTTTAAATTATCCAAGAAATACGACAAATTACAAGAAAAAAGAGATTTCGATTAAGAAAAAAATTGCTATGAATCGTATAACGAATCCATAATTTAATTGATGAGTGCTATCATCAGTTGGCTCATTGGTTGTCGGAATTACGAGATCATTCTTTATTCAATTTGAATCTTCAAAGATGGTTTTGAAGAACAAACGAAAGATTCGATCAAAAACTTCTGACTTGGTCGCATTTATTTACGGATGTTCTTAAATCATAAGCCAAGGGAGTTCAGAGGTTGCAAGATCATTGAATGAATGCATCAAAGAGTATACATCAAAGACGTGTGGGAATTGAGGATCAAAAATGTTTAAATTTGATTCATGCCAGGAATATCTTGCTCAAATATTTAACAGAGGGTCAGGTTTTGGTCCGACTTTTGGACTTGAGCCTAAATGGATACGACATGCATAGTAAAGACCAACTTTATTTATTCATATTGGATTCAATTTCAAGGGCAAGGTACTTGCACCAACATTCTATCTTCGGCACAAATCACTCGATCATTACCGAAAGCTTCAACAGCGGCCATTCTAATTTCCTCAATGATCTTGGAATCACATCCTCTATAACGACTGCTAAAATGATTTAATATTAATTTATGCGCATTAATCTGGGCCGCAAATTTTCCTGCCATTCTTGCGGTCGAGTGACCTCTTCATTATATTGGATGCAAAGAAATTTTTAATGAATTTACCGAGAATCAGATGACACCTGTCTGTATTCATGAAAATAATGTTACCTTCTTATCGCGCCTTCTTCTACTGATTCATAACTGGTTCCCGGAGGATCTGACGAGGTCAAAGAGTTGGTGGCTTCGTGTACCAACACATCAGCATTCATGGCTGTGTCACAAAATATATGTTATTTCAACTTTTTCTACAACAAATAATGTTAGAACACCGATTCACCTAAATGAATGATGCCCGATGGATCGTAAGTATCACCCAGGAGAACAATCTTGCGTCCCGGACGTCGTGGTGGCGGTTCGATTATCGTACCATCAGGCAAGTGGAGAGTCTCTCCATTTTGCAATTTCTTCATAAGTTCCATTGGATTTTTTATTCCCAATGCTTCTTTGTTGCGTAGCAAGATTGGTTTTATTACTTGAGCATCAATTTTTCCTGGTAACGAGTTTTCCGAAAATACGTAACCCAAGCATGGAATCGAATGCTTGATTGGTGCCGCTGTAATTTTATACGATTTTCCATCAATAACTTCCCAATACAAATTATCGCCTGACCTTTGTAACTGTATGTTTTTTCCTAATTGTTCAAAATCGTATAATTCTTTCTCGTCGGGTTGATCCACGGGATCTTCCGGAAAAAGTAATTCGTGAACCATATAATCGCGACCGAGAAAAGACCGCGTGAGTTTTAGCGTTTGGCGAAGGAATTTACGAAGTCCTGAAGGCCCATAGATTTCAATAGGATGCCTTGCGGTACCTGAAGAAGTTGTGGTCAAATTGTTGGTTGCTGTGCATAGCAAGGGAGACAGTCCAAAAATATGATCCTACGTTCGTTAGATACTGTACATTAAGTAATTTGTGATCTACGATGTTCAAAATGTCATCTTTAACTTACGCCATGCAAGTGAGTGATAAAGATTCGATCAATTTTGCCCCATTTGATGTTTGAGACCTTGAGGATTTGATGTTGCGTGGCTTCTCCCACATCAAATAACCATGATGTTCCGTCGATGGTTAATGCTAATGATGACGTGTTACGATCGGGCGTGGGCTGCGAGGAACTAGTACCCAGAAACGTGATTTCTATCGAATTGGTCATTTCTAGGGAATTGACTTCATTTCAAGTGCCAATCTTTGGCATGTGTATCTGACATGACATTCCCGTGTAACGTTAGCCACAAATTTATTGGTTAGATTCAAATGGCATGATTTTATTTTTGTAATCCCACGAGTTGTCCTTAATTTGTCTACTCCCTGATTTATTTTTTAACATCTCGAAAATTTCTTATTTTGTTTCATAACAAAGTCCTCATCTTCAACTCCAAAAAGCCTAAAGTTCAAGAATCGACACAAGTCTGTCTGTTTTGCTATACCTTTATTTTATTTAATAAGTATTAATAATGAAAGGAACGGGTGGCAACTTGAAAAATCAGTCGATAATTAATACTTGCATGAAACGCAACGCTCGAATTGCTTATACGAGTTATTTATACATCGTTTCGATTGTAAATGGGTTTCACCATTAATTTCGCGTACAAAAATAGGCGGTAGATCACTTCTTTTACGCTTGAAATGCTTCTTCTGATCTTCACCACCATTTGAGGGAAGCTCCTTGCGTTTGTTTCTAGACTTCTTTATTTCGTCTGTATAAACAAAGTCAGATGATTCTGACGTCTTTTTCCTATTACGAGATGAACCGCTGATCAGAAACCGCGTAAATTTAACAGTATGAAGGAAAGGAACGTAAAGTTACCTTGTGCGTTGCTTTTTTGATTTTCGTTGCTGACCGGGTTCGGCATCATCGTACGTCAACTCATCTTTTACTAAAGAATCATTCTGTGAGCCAATTGATGATTCACCAGTAATGGCACTAAGTGGACGTACGTTCGCTGAACGCAAGAGAGAAATGTATGATTACAACGTCACGTCAAATATACTTTCTCACAGGTAATTTCATGATAGAATCATCAATTGTAGTAGCTACCTTTTCTGCTTCCTTTTTTCGGGTTCTTCGTGTTCCGGGTTTTGTTGGTAGCCGATAAGGTAAGGGCTTTGGAAAGGTCATTGAACTCGGACTCACTTGTGAACTCGGGAGGTGAAGACAAAGTCGAAGCAGGCGAGGGTGGTTGGGTTGCGTTGCGAGACCTACGCTAAAACGTTAGGAACGAATAAAATGGAAACGGAAGAGGGTCAGTGAATCCTTAGCCCTTATGAAACATCACACTTTATCCTTCTCTTTTCGCTTCTGTACCGATTACCTTTCCCGTAAAATATTGTCTCACTTCGGCAACAGAACATCCCGCCAACTGCGCAATAAACCCATATGACACCTCTGATTCTGTCAAATGATTGAAGGAAGTCCAAGCTTGTTGCAAAGTAAGTACCTTACGATTATCTGAATTATTATTATTATT